ATATGATTGTATTTTGATGTTTTACTGTAATACTGTCTTTATGTTGTCCTATTGCTGTAATATATTGCACTTAAGTTTCAATAATTGCATTGGCAAGGTAAACATTTTCTGTATACATACAATCCAATCCCTGGGATTGTCCTCTGCCACATTTCCTATAGTCTCATGATGAGCACTGTGGGTTTTCATGTGAGACATCAGGGTTCAAAACCCTGACGTGACAGGCACAAGCTGGTATAGAAAACACATTTGAACTTGGTCAAAGTTCATTCTGCAAGTCCAATGCTCCTGCCTACATTGTCATACAGCTGCCATTGTAATTTCTATCTGTAAAGGCCCTGTGCCAAATGATTGCTTTGGCTTTTGGTACCTGTACAACTTGTAGTTTTTGAAATATTAATGTTTAAACTTTATTCCAAATGGGAGTCAATATGGCCTTGTAATGGTCCAATACTGCCCCCAGCTGTACTCAACTTGGTACTGCACCATAGTGTTTTTATATTTAATCTCAATAGTTCAGTATTTACAATACTAATAAGATTTTTTTTGATGTTTTATTATAAAATTGTCTTAATACTGCTCTATTGTTGTCATTATGCAGTTTAGTGTCAATAATTGTATTGGCAATGTGGCCTCTTTCTGCACACATACAAACCCACCCCTGTCACCACCTTCTCCCAAAGCTCCACTGGTCTAATGGTCTAATTCATGGACTTTCATGTGGGAGATCAGGGTTCAAAACCCAGCTAATGCAACTTTAACTAAAAATCTCTTCAAACTTCATGTTGTCACTCAATTACCTTTAATTAAAAACACTTGCTGATGTGACAGGCACAAGCTGGTTTAGAAAGCATATTTGATCCTGGTCAAAGCTCCTTCTGCAAATCCAATGCTGCAGGCAATGACATGCTACTTGGCAGTCCACACTTGTTTTTACATCGTAAAAACCCATGTCTAGTGTTTATTGAATTCCTGTTTCGCTCACATTGTCATTAGAAAAAAGTGTTTTAGGTACACTTGAGCATGAAGTTATTTTTCTATGATTGAATTAGCGAATGTTTTGAATTGAACAAACGATTTGAGTTTTTATCAACTATCAAGTCCATGAATTTTTTACGTGTGAACTATTCAAATGAAAATCATGCACTGGGGGTACTTTATTCAGTGTAAATTTATAAACCTCTAAACAATAGAATCATCTAGAACAGTGATTCCCAACCAGGGGTATGTATACACGAGCATATTAAAGGGGGTACGTGGAAAAATTTCCCAGGTGTGTGAAAAAATGAATAAAAATAGGCCTAATAATTTTTGCAATGCGGAAAGTGCAGTATCGTGAAATTGACTAAACAAAATTTTATCCTGTATAAAACACAGAATCTCACAGAAATTGCTAATTTGGGTGAGTTTCTGAT